AAAAAAAAAGATGAATGATTTTAGACTATATTCCTTGCACATGCTGAAGAAACCATTGTTGGACAAGACATGCACACGAAGACCTGGTTAACTACTTGGTTGAGTATCCAGGTGTATGTGCCCCCACAAAAGGGCCCAGATGTTTAGAATAAGAAGAAAACTGCAAGTATTTTCAAATAAATGCTACTTTAAAAAAAAAGGTCAGGATCTGAGGGCTTCCTGGAAGGGGACTGTCGGCATCTTGATGGTCCACTGAGGGCTTTGCACAAGCCAAGAGTGAGACAGGGCTTTCCTGGGGGGTGAGGGGCACGGGAAGGTGGTTCCTGGGGATTACATTTTGTACATGGTATTTGGGAAGGTCAGTCCCACCTATGTATATGCACAGTGTCCCCTTTGTCCTGTGGGGACTGTCCACCCTGCCTCACCCCCATGAATCTGCTGGACCGTGGGCCCCACACAGCGGCACCTTCCACCCAGACCCGCTCATGGCGCCAACTCAAAACACACCAGTGAGGCATCTCTGCATGACTTTATTACTGGGTAGCAAAGAAGAGGACAAAGGCTCAGAAAATAAATATCTGCAAAGGCCCAACCAATTCAGGAGGCAAGGAAGCTCAGAGGGTCAGTGGACAGGGCGGGGCTGGTGGGGAGGTGGGGGCTGGCGGGGAGGTGGGGCCTGGATGGCTGCGCCAGCACTCATGGTCTCCTGGGACGCCAGGGGTTGGAGCGCCGGCCACGGCTGAAGGCGCCGGGCTGGGTGAGCGGGAGCCCACAGGTGGAGCCCTGGCACAGGCAGCTCTCGATGTGGGTGTAATTGTATCGCAGTGTGCCACCGTCGGGGCAGTCCAGCACCACCTCACGCTGGCTGGTCCGCTCTTCCTTACAGCAGGAGCATTTGTGGTCCAGGGACTGAGCCTCAGCCGAGTATCTGGTGAGGGAGAGTAGGGTGAGGACCACTCCCTCCAGGAAGCCTGGGAACCCCCACCACCCCCAGGAGGGCAGGAGTGGCCTCATGGTGCCTGTGGCCCCCACTGTGCCAGGACTCACATGGCGAAGGTCCCGCAGGACCCTGAGCAGTAATTCATGTGGACGCTCTTGGTGCAGCCCGCGTGTGTGATCTCCCTCATAATTGGGATGGTGGAGCAGGAAGTCCTGGTCTCATTGCGAAGGGTGCCTGGAAGAGGGCAAGGTGGAGTTCTGGGGATTACACAGGCTCCCTCTGCTGCCTCTTGGTCCCTGGGGTGGGACTCTTCCCAATCCAAGCAGCCTGCCATCAGCCACCCTCCCGGAAGGCAAGTACCCACCTCCAGCTGCCTGCTGGTAAACTAAATTCTGTCCTGCTCCTCCCTGGGATGGGATTAGGGCTCCCTGGGCACCCTAGTTTCACCCCCTTAGCGTCCAGATATGGGCGGGAGGCACAGAGGGGACAGAGGTGCCTCCACTCCCTCAAGGAGGCCCAGGCTGAGCCCACCTGCCGGGCCTCTACCTACGTGCCCACCTGCCCGAGGTGGTACTCACATTTCTTACAGCAGCCATTGGGCATGAGTGTGATGGAGCCCTTGAGGGGGGAAGACAAGAATGAGCTGTGACCCCCAAAGCCCCCCCACGCTGAAGGGCAAGCACCCCCTCCTGTCTTGGGGTTTGGGAGGGGTAATTCCTGTAGAAGGGCCCCCAGGGCAGGGCCTCCCTCTGCCCCAGCACTGGAGACCCAGCCCCCCAGCCCCCCAGCCCCTGGGGGACCCCCAGAGAGGCCGCTCACCTGGAGGCAGTCACTGGGGTCGAAGCTGGGACAGGTGATGTTGCTGACAGACGAGATGAGCTGGTTGTGGATTTTCGCGCAGCTGAAGAAGGTGCAGTTGTTGCTGGGGCTGTGCTTAAATTGCCCAGGCTGGGGACAGAGGAGAGACCAGGTGAGGGCGAGCAGCAGGCCCCGCAAGGCCCCCAGACCCTGGTCCACCCGGAGCACAGACCAGAAACACCCTGGCTGGGACAAGCTCCCAACTCCCGGCCAAATGCAGCATCTCTGGCAGGACTGGGCTGTGGGCCCAGGACCTCGAAGCAAGTGACCCCTGACAAGGGCTCCAGGGACAGGTGCCAGCCCATAGTGGGCCCAGAAGAACATGTCCATGCCCTAACCCCTGGAACCTGAGACAGTATTTGGAAAAAGGAGCATTGCAGATGTAATTAAATTGCAGATGTAAGTTAATCAAGATCACCATGGATTATCCAAAAAACTAAAGACCCAAACCCACTGCTGTCGAACCGATTCTGACTCATAGCGACCCTAGAGGGTGGAGTAGAACTGCCCCACAGGGTTTCCAAGGAGAGGCTGGTGGATTGGAACCGCGGAGTTTTTGGTTAGCAGTCATAGCTCTTAACCGCCGCGCCACCAGGGCAGGCGGGCCTTAAGCCCCTGACCAGTGCGCTGACAAGATACAGATGGGAAGGCACAAGCAGACGAGGCCATGGGGCGCGGGGTGCCCAGAGTGGCTGGAAGAGGCAAGAAAGGCTCCTTCCCTAGAGCCTCGGGAGGGAGCATGGCCCTGTGACGCCTTCATTTCGGACTTCTGGCCTTCAGATGGTGAGGGAACACATCTGTGCTGTTTAAAGCCACCCAGTTTGTGGTACTTTGTGGCGCCATGACAGGAAACTCATACACAGCCTTTCCCGGGACTGGGAGGATTCAGCCCGGGAAGCCGGGCGTCTCCGCAGGCCCCACCCTCGTTCCCTCTGTCAGGAGAAGAGGGGCAGGAGACCCCGGTCCGCCAGCAGCCCCGCCCAGAGGCTCCGTCCCTTCCCCGCCCACAGCCCCAGGGCCCCGCCCGGGCCCCGCCCAGCCCACCTTCAGGATGAGGACCGGGCTGTCCGGCTGCTGGATGATGCAGTGGGTCTGCTCACACTTCTTGCAACACTCGCCGGGGTCCTCCACGAGCTCGTAGCCCTAGGAACACGGCCCGGGGCTGAGCCTGCGGGGCCCGCCCACCCCAGGCCACCGCCCACCCCAGGCCACCGCCCACCCCAGCTGTCCCAGCTCTCGCACACAGCGGACAGGGCGGCCCTGGGATCCCGGACCCCACCCCGTCGTGGGAGGAGGGAGTGGGGCTGCTGTAAAGAGATGGGGGGACGGAGCACGTGGAGGGGGCGGGCATTGGAAAGGGGAACGGAGCTGTGGTCGGAATCTCTCCTGTCTTTGCTAGAATAAGCCTTTAAGACTAGACCGTGGAAATGGGTTTGGGGTGATGGACTCTCCGAGCAGACTGAGGGGGAGGCTAGGACGGCAGCGCTTACGGGGTCGCAGTCGGTTTTACAGGGCACGTGGGTGCAAGAGATGACGTGGAGCTGGGTCTCGTTGTCCATGGTGTGGGTGCAGACGCAGTTCTCGCACTTGCTGGAGTAAACTGGGGAGCCGGGCTTTGGGCCCAGGGGAGACCGTGAGGCGCGGCCCCCTCGGCTCCCCAACCGCTGCAGAACCTCCGACCCCTGTTCCTGAGGGCGGCCCTCATC